GCTGCAAACCATTTGAGTTAAAAACAAACTAATCTATATGAGTATTGTGAACTTGTATGATGAAGTAATGAAGTATTTAATTAGCTCAATACCTTCAACACTGATTTTAAAACTCTTTTCAAATGAGTAGGATTAACTTTCAGTACATTTTGAGTTATCTACACTCATTTTATTTGATAAAGTTGAATGTTGGGTTTTACAGTGCAGGATTTTTTAGGCCTAAATATAGAGTTGAGAAAGAAAACTGATGGGGATATGGAATACATTCTCTAAATATTCCAAAATGCCAGATTTTTTAAACATTTCCAGAAAATATGTAAATCATTTGCTTCATTTGAGCCACATAGTCTCCAACAGACTGCATTTTTGTTTAAGTATCTCTTCTACTCAGGGGTGATGAATAAACGTGTGATATTTTTCCAACCAAATTCCCTCCAGACTGAGGAGGATGTTATTTACCGCTGTGTTTTAAAAATACTTTTTCACTCTTACTCTTTCAAATATTTTTAATATTACCCTCTTTTTTCCATCTATTTTTATATAACATGTATTCTCTAATTTATTGTCTTGTTGACTTTTATATAATTATTGTATATAAATTATTATTATATAGTAATTAATTTGGTCATGCTGGCTCCTTTATAAGCTGAGATAAATATTGTAAGAAGACTTATTATTTTTGTTTTCATCGCCGTTTCTGATGTTTTTAATTTTGTGTCTTATCTGTAAATATCTTTGAAAGTCATAAACACTCAGGGAATTTTCATTTTTGAAAGTTTTAAATCCTTAACACTTCCATTATATAGAAAAGTGCAGTATGCCATGAGTCTTTTCTTATTCCAAACTTTGAAACTAGTGTATTTTGTTTGGGGCAAATGTGGAGTCTGGCCATCTCAGTATTGATACAGATTGGCCATCTCAGTATTGATACAGATTCCATTAAATCTGTATCAATACTGATACATTCCATTATTTTTCTTATATTTCTTGCCAAGCTTTTTTAATTGTTTGTCCATACGTTAATTTCTGTGTGTGTGTGTGCATTTATTTGTTTCTATGACATTAAGCTTAGGTGTTGAAGTTGAAATGGTGAATCGTGTCAATTATAAATCAAAGATGTTTTTCTTTGTCAAATTCATTGTCGTGCTTCAGTCCTTTTTTTTTATAATGACTTATAGAATAAGTGTAAGAAGTCAAATGCAAAGTGATCCATTCAGTGTTTAAAATGAGTACATGTACATGTTTATTCTTAGAAAAAGGTGGCAATGATTTTCTGTTCCCTATGCACTTTACATGTGTCAAAATGCATTTGTGAGTTTTCTGTTTACATGCTGCTTTACAAAAATAAAAGTATATTATACATACCAGAGTGTGTTTTTTGTGTGTATTAGCCTACTAAAGTGTTGCATTTTGTAGTCTTGGCATTTGAAAGTACTAATTTCCAGCAATATTTTTTTGTTTGGTGGCGCAGTGTGTAGCACATTTGCCTCACAGCAAGAAGGTTACTGGTTCAAGCCTCGGTTGGATCAGTCGGCATTTCTGTGTGGAGTTTGCATGTTCTCCCCGTGTTTGCGTGGGTTTCCTTTGGGTGTTTCGGTTTACCCCACAAGTCCAAAAAAATGTGGTATGTGAAGAGAGTAAGCTAAATTGTCTGTAGTAGTGTATGTGTATGGATGAGTGTGTATGGATGTTTCTCAGTGATGGGTTGCAGCTGGAAGGGTTTCCGCTGCGTAAAAATATGCTGGATGAGTTAGCGGTTCATTCCGCTGTGGCGACCCCTGATTTATAAAGGGATTAAGTCGACAGGAATATGAATGAATGAATATGTCTGATAATATTTTTTCTTCTGGAGAAAGTCTAATGGTAATATATTTTACCTTATTTTATTTTTGCTTTTTATTTTATAGATAGCAAAAATATTAGTTAATATTATTTTTATAATAATAATTATTCAGCTATTGTGGGGAAACCGACAGATGGCAATTGCAGACAACAGACAAAGTAAGCTGAAAAGAAAATGAATGAATGAATGAATGAATGAATAAGTAACATTTCCCAAGAACGCGTATTTGTGATTAAGACTGAATAAATTTTGAAAGACTTAATAGTAGAAACACTTTATCGATTTTGTGAAGAGCAAGATTGCAAAGTCATGCTTTTATTAATGAAGATTATTGTCTGCTCGAATTTTGCTTACGCTCTGTCACGCGCGCGCACTAAAACCAGGAAGTGTTTGGTATTGGTAGAAACGAAATTTATTTCTCTGACACTCGAGTCTCTGGTTAAAGAGCCACACTTCTAGCTAGATTAAAGCTGTACGTATGAAACATTTAACTTATTTTGAACAGGTAAGAACATTACAGAGTCATTTTGCACACATTAAAAAGGATTATTTAAATATTAGTATAGCTACTTTAATAATCCTGTATTAGTCTCTTCACGTTGTGTTAATAAGTGACGCTTTTGCGATTATTCTTTTATGTTGACTCACAAAACTAAGCATTTTGTAGACTTTTAGATGTGCTCTTTTATGATTTACATGTTCATCTATCTGCGAAGAAATGTCTGAGTTGTCCTCAAGTGAGTATGTGGATCAGTTCAGCTGTCCAGTGTGTTTGGATCCGCTGAAGGAGCCGGTGACGATTCCCTGTGGACACAGTTACTGTATGAGCTGTATTACTGACTGCTGGAGCCTGAAGGAGCAGGGGCCGCCGTACCGCTGTCCCCAATGCAGAGAGAGCTTCAGTCAGAGACCTCTACTGAAGAAGAACGGTCAGGGTATATGATGGAGACGCTGCAGAAGACGACCCTACAGACGCCTGCTGCTGCTGCTGCTGTGGACTGTGATGTTTGCTCTACAGAGAAGAACAGAGCTGTAAAGTCCTGTCTGCAGTGCTTGGCCTCCTTCTGCCAAACTCACCTGCAGCCTCACTATGAGTCTCCTGCGTTTATGAAGCACAAACTAGTGGACGCCTCCAGACACATTCAGGAGAACATCTGCCCCAGTCATGGGAAACCGCTGGAGATTTACTGTCAGGATGATCATCAGTGCATTTGTTACCTGTGCATGATTGACAGTCATCAAAACCACAGTGTGGTGTCTGTGGATTCAGAATGGACCAAAAAGAAGGTAGTGAACTCTAATTGTTGTCATTTTCCTGAGTTAATAATGTCAGCTAAAAAGTTTATAAATTAATTACTAATATTTAATATGATTGTCAAGGTGTACATTTTGTTCTTTATTGATTTTTTTATGTATGATAACGTTTTCAGAAAAAGTTAAAGGAGACGAAGGTGAAATGTCTAAAGCTGATCGAGGAGCGAGAGAAAGGTCAACAGGAACTCAGTGAAGCTGTCAAGTCTCTTAAAGTGAGTAAAGAGTAAAGTAAAGTAAAGAACTTTTATTGTCATTGTAGTTGTACAACGAAATTTGTTTGGTAACTCACAGAGACCAGCAGCAACATAAAAAGAGAGAAAAACAAACAATAGACATAATACTAAAATATAAGACATAATACTAAAATATATAAAAACCAACAATAGACATAATACTAAAAATATAAGATGTAAGATAAAAATATACTAAATGTAATAGTCACAGTATTTACATTATGGCAAATGAGTGCAAACATGAATGTCCATAAAGTGTCTTTGTGCATTAGCAGCAGAACATCAGAAAGGTAGGGAGTGAGGGAGGGGGGGGGGGGGGGGGGATTGTTAATGTGTACAAGGAGGAGGGGTGGCACAGGCTACAGCTCTGGGGAAGAAGCTGCTCTTTAGCCTGTTTGTGCGGGTCTTAATTGCTTTATATCTTTTCCCTGATGGGAGTAGTGCAAAAAGTTTGTGTCCTGGATGAGTAGGGTCCTTAATGATGTTGCTAGCTCTCCTCTGTAGGCGGCTAGCGTAGACTGTATCGAGGTTTGGGAGTTTAATTCCTATGATCCTCTGTGCAGTCTTAACAGTCCGGGATAGAGCTCTCCGGTTTTCCGCAGTGCAGCTTGTGTACCACACTGTGATGCAGTGACAGAGGATGCTCTCTATCGTGCTCCTGTAGAAATTTAGTAAGAGCTGGGTCGGTACTTTTGTTTTCTTGAGTTTTCTTAAGAAGAAAAGTCTCTGTTGAGCTTTCTTCACTAAGTGGGTGGTGTTAATGGTCCATGTGAGATCTTTTGTCAGATGTAGGCCTAGGAATTTGATGTTGTTTACCCTCTCAACTTCCTCGCCATTTATGTGGAGGGGGGTTGGTGGTGTCCTTTTTGCTCTTCTGTAGTCAACAACGATCTCTTTTGTTTTGGAGGTGTTCAGAACCAAATCGTTATTGACACACCAGTTGATTAGGTGTTGGACGTCCTCTCTGTATTGAGACTCGTTGTTACCTGAGATTTGTCCTATTATTGTGGTGTCGTCAGCAAACTTCACTATAGTGTTGGAAGGGTGAATGGGTTTGCAGTCATGTGTGAATAGGGTGAAAAGTACTGGGCTGAGGACACAGCCCTGCAGTGCTCCTGTATTAATGGTGATGGTGGATGAGATGTGGTTGCCCACTCTTACATTCTGTGGTCTGTTAGTGAGAAAATCCAAAATCCAAGAACAGAGTGAAGGGGTTAATCCTAAATTTTTCAGCTTGTTTACCAGTTTGTATGGTACAATGGTATTAAATGCAGAGCTGAAATCTACGAATAACATCCTAACATATGTATTGGGATGTTCCAGATGAGAAAGGCTGGTGTGGAGTGTGATTGAGATTGCATCCTCTGTTGATCTGTTCCTGCAGTAAGCAAACTGTAGGCTGTCCAGGTCAGTAGGGATGTTTGTTTTGATGTGTGAAAGAATAAGTCTCTCAAAACACTTCATTATAATGGGTGTCAGAGCAACTGGGCGATAGTCGTTCAGACATTTCACTGATTGCTTTTTGGGCACTGGAACAATGGTTGTTGATTTGAGGCACATAGGGACTATGGCCTGTTTTAAAGACAGATTGAAGATGTTGGTGAACACCC